CGTCGAGGCACCATACATGAAGGCTCCACAGCTCCAGGCCTGGTTCCTCCAGAGCGGGGCCACTAGGAGGAGAGAGCACTTGGTCTCCCTGACCCGCCTGATGACCTGAGGAATCAGGGCGATCGGGGGAAAAGCGTATAGGCGAGCACTGGGCCAGTCGTGGGCCAGAGCATCTCGCTGTATCGAGAAGTATCGGCAGTGAGAGTTGTCTTCTGAGGCAAAGAGGTCGACCTCTGCCCTCCTGTAGACTGACCAGATCTTTTGAACCGTTTAAGGGTGTAGCGCCCATTCGCCCGGGGCTACCTTGCCTCTGGACAGCATGTCTGCGCCAAGGTTCAATCTGCCCAGCACATGAACCACCCTTAACGAGAGGAGTTCTTTCTGTGCCCAAAAAAGGAGGCAACGAGCCATCCTGTAAAGAGTGTGTGACCTGAGACCGCCTTGGTGATTGATGTAAGCCACCACCGTCATGCTGTCCGACCGGACCAAGACGTGGTGCCCTTTTAAGGCCGGAAGGAAGGTTTTCAGGGCTAAGAAAACTGCCAACATCTCTAGGCAGTTGATATGCAGGCGTTGCTCCGGGGCTGACCAGGAGCCAGATGCTGCATCAGGGCTAAGAAAACTGCCAACATCTCTAGGCAGTTGATATGCAGGCGTTGCTCCGGGGCTGACCAGGAGCCAAATGCTGGATTGCCCTCCAAAAGGGCGCCCCAACCCGAGTTGGACGCATCCGTTGTGACTACCTTCCTTCTGGAGGTCAGGCCTAATCTCGTTCCTGTTTGGAACAGGCGAGAGGTCGTCCAGGGGGCCACAGCCTTGATACAGCGGTGGTCTACCCTGACAGGAAGCCCCTCAGGCGCCAGGCGTGGGGTGGAACGCGGGCTTTGAGCCAAAACTGAAGGGGCCGGGGCCGCATGAGAAGCAGGCCCAGAGAAACTACAGAGGCAGCGGCCGCCATAAGGCCAAGCAACCTCTGAAAAACCTTCAGGAGGCGAGTTGTCACTGGTTTGAGAGACGCCGCCCGCATTTGGGCGGAGTCTAAAATTGTTCCCAAAAAGACAGCTCGCTGTCTGGGCAACAGCTGACTCTTGTGCAGGTTGATGATCAACGTGGCTGAGTAACAGTTCTCTGTGAGCAGCCAACTCCTGTTCTGACCTGGCTAGAACCAGCCAATTGTCGAGGTTTCACTTCATGAGTGTGCGCGGCCAGAGAAAGTCCAAAAAGGAAAGACTGTATATTGATAGGCCACTCCCTCGAACACGAATCTCAAGAATGGTCTGGGGGGGCTATGTGGATGTTAAAGTATGCATCTTTCAGATCCACTGTCAAAAACCAGTCCTTGGGGCAAATGTGCGCGAGGATCTGTTTGATAGTTAACATCTTGAACAACCGGCACATAAGCGAGTGGTTCAGACGTCTGCGATCCAGAATGGGTCTGAGCCCGCCATCTCTCTTTGGAACGAGGAAGTAGCGGCTGAAAAAGCCTGACTCGCTGTTCGCTGAGGGCACTATTTCCACAGCACCTTTTGCAAGCAATGTCTGCACTTCTTGTCGGAGAACGAGCACTTCGTTGTCCGGAATAGAACTTTGAATAACGCCTCTGATGTGAGGTGTTAACCTCGCTGAATTGTTTTTAAAACCCAACTGGACACTCCCGGAATGGCTGCCCAAGCCGTGAAACGGAGGGTTTTTTTTTTTTTTTTTCTTATGGGGGGTTGT